GATGAGAGCCGCGCCGCACCGCGCATAGCCGCGCAGGCTGACAGGCAGAAGGACTGACTTCCCTCTCCCGGGCATCCTCCCTGGGCTGCCGGGAGGCGGCGGCGGCGGGGGAGGAGGAGGGAAAGGGGGAGAAGGCGGAGAGCAGGAACGCGAGGAGGTGGACCTGGATCCGTTTCTCCCGGCCAGGACGCGAGCGGCCCCAGCTACCGCTACCCGCCGGCGCCGTCCCCTATCCATCAGCCCTCCTGCACCCATCCGCGACCCTGGGCTCTCTGCGCGTCGGGCCGGGGCCGGAGCGGCGCGGCCGCAGGTAAGAGCCGGGTCAGGTTGGGGCTCTTAGGATGCGGAGCGGGGGTTTTGGGGGATCCCAGGGTCCTGGTAGCTACTGGGCCAGGCAGGACTTGGGAGCGGGGCCCGGAGCCCGGAACGCTGGGCTCGGCTCTGGCAGTGGTGGCGGCTGGAGCTGAAGCCTCCCGCGTCTGGACTCGCAAGCCTGCAGAAGCCCTTGCGCCTGCGCTGCTCTGGGGATGGAAAAAAAGGGGGAAAAAACTTCCTGCCCCCGGGTGTGTTATGCAGGGAATGCCTGGGGGGACTGTCGCTGTGGTCGGAGGTGCTGGAAGCGAATATGACACCGGAGCTGGGTAGCGCTGGGCCGGGCCCGGCCGTGTGCGTCCCTCTCCTGGCCACCTCCCCCTGCGCGGCTCAGGGCCCCAGCAGTGCCGGGGGGGGGGGTGCCCAGGAAGCACTGGAGAGCTGGTCCCCAGGGCGGCCGTGTGCCCTGCGTGTTGGGGAGGTGAGCGCCCGTGTGCCAAGGGAAGCTAGGTGATGGGTTCGGCCCCTGGCGTTCTCAGATCCAGCATTAGGGGACCGGGTTTCTTCACTGGATCCCAAGTAACTTTCGAGGTAGAAGAGCTTGAAAATCCTCTGGATGGAACCCACACAGACCGTGTGGTGACCTCCCGTTCATTCCCTTGACACCTTGTGGTTTCCAGCGGGGGTTGGAGGTGGGAGGACAGCTTCGGGGATGCGAAGGGCGGGGAGGTGGTGGCGAGTGGGGAGGGGTTGTTTATGTGTGGGATAGTGGACCGGGAGACACGTAGGTGGGAGTGTGGCCGCGCGCCCGGACTGCCACGGGCGGTGCGGGCTGCCCGCGGGCTCACGTCCGGGTCTCCGTGGCCTGGAGCTGGCGGAAAGCTTGTAGGGTTATCTGCGGTCGTGCGCGGGTGCCCGCGCTGGGCAGTGTCAGCCCCAGGCCCCAGGGGAGAGAGGCGTGCTCGCTCCAACCCAGATCGCGGAGCCCAGAGCCCAGTTTCGGTCCGAGGCTGTTCCCGGGGCAGGTTCGATGTGCATTGCCCGGGGAAGGCGGAGACGCACTGCCTGCCTGCGGCTGTTCTCAGAGGAGCGGGCGACTGCAAAGCGTGAGTCTTGGATGCCTGGGTCCGCCTGCTGAGAAGCACGTTCTCTCTCATCGCTGGCCTCTGGAACCGAAAGGCGGCGGCGGTCAGTTGACAGATCCCCGGTGGGTCCCCAGGGATGATGATGGGTGAGGAGCAGCGGCTGCTGCCACACGCGCGGCTCTGCGAAGCGTATCCTCTCTCCCCACGGTGTTTGCGACGCGGCGCGCCCGGGGCGAATCGTGAACGCAGATATTTATGTAGCATTAGGCGAGACCTCTTCGCCGGAGGGACTAGACGTGGAGGACGCCGGGCTGCGGCTGCCGAGAAACTTCCACTCCTCAGCTCTGGGACATTCAAGCTCCTCCGCCGCCGCGGCAGGCTCCAGCCCCTCCTCAGCTGAGCAACGCTAGGATTCGGACTCCAGTTGCAGTGACAGATCTGTCCTGGTTACAGCTGTATTTATCCTCATTTCATTCTCTTTCAAGCCATTTGTCTAGTCACTACAGAGTTTCTCCCCTGCGGTGTGGGTCTTCCTGCTAACTCAGCCTGGGGAGGGCAGATTTGAGAAATTCTTTCCGTTCGGGCTGAATGACAGCACGTTTAATTAGCCCACCTCATTCCTGACTTTTTAAATTTAAATTAAGGGGGGGAGATGGAGAGCTAACTTTTTAATTATTTTTCACTGGCGGAGGGGGGGTGTTGAACAACTGTTCAGATTGTTCATCCTGACACTTGGAGCAAACGTATCTGGTAAACATAATAATTTAAGGGTTGGTTGTCAGGCATGCATACTCAGTCTGCAGGTTCCTACATGCATGGAGCAGTGTCTCGCAGTGTCTATGGTACCATATATTGCTCTGGAGTGCATTAAATTTATCACCTTACTACAAATCAGGGAATCAGTAGCATGTGTGCCCTTAAACCCTATAGGAATTTAATAATGTTTAACTTGGCTTATGGGCTGATGCATTTAGCCAATTTTAATAACTTTTCTGCACAAGGATCTTATTAGTCCATGATTAAGAAAAACATTGTCTTTGGTCCAGTCTTCCCATTTCCACTATAGTTGTGGAAATGAATAGGTCTCCAACTTCCATTTGCAAGCAACAATCCAAACGAAATACCTAAGAGTTTTACTGAAATAAAACATCCTATGGTAGCCATGGAAACAAATAGATTAAGGGTTATTGGTTTTTTCTGTATGTGGTGGGGGTGGGGACCTAATGTTGGGTCTCTTAAGTTATGTTTCTAATGAATGGTGGTCACACTCCGCATACTCAGTGTGGGAGAAAAGCCATGCCAGAATTCAGTTTTGTGAGGGGTTTATTAGAACAAAGACTACCGAGAAGCCCAAGAGAATGACTTCTGCTAACTGGGGCTCCTTGCATCCAGAACGCAAATGCATAAAGCCATTTTTTGGTTTTTTTCTTTTTTCTTTTTTTTTTTTTTAAGTAGATGAGAATGGAGTCCGTATTCTTTTAAGATTGGAAGACGTATTTTGCTTGTAAGCTATTACTAAAGGAATCATTAAATCCAGCCCCTGTTTCCTAGGAATAAACATGTTAGAAGTGTAGATGTTGGTGTAGATGGACTGTCACACTTGTTACCAACACTGTCAGTCTAAGTGAGGCATATCATTAGTCTATTCAAATCTTGCCTGTTTCAATATTCATGCATTTCCATGGTGATCCACTCTGGTTTTGTTTACTTAATCAACCTTATAAATCTTTGGCATCAATTTCAGCAGTACCATCTTGCCCCTCTCCCATTTATCATTTGATTTGGCTGCAGCTCATTCCTAATTGAAAGCATGTCCCCGTCTCCCTTACATAGTTTCCAAAAGTTTACGTGATTCCCAGTAACACAGAGAGATAAAGAAGTTAATTCAGATAACACCATCAGAGCTGATGTAGCTTTTTAGTGTCCCATTTGTTACGTGTGTGTATGTGTGTGTGTGTGTGTGTGTGTGTGTGTGTGTGTGTGTGAGAGAGAGAGAGAGAGAGAGAGAGAGAGAGAGAGAGAGAGAGAGAG